AATTTTCATATTAAACAATGGTTTGGTTTTTTCGTTAAAGAGACCAAAAAGTATGTTCAATTATTAATGACCTTATATTTTAATGACATAACTTTCTTTCTTTCACTTGGTTAAAAGAAGTGCAGTAATGCCTTTAGAATAAGGCTAATATACCTTTTATATATAAAAATTTTAATTAATCTGAATCCTTTTTCTTTTTTTTCTGAACTACATTTTAAAAACGAGTTATGTTATGTTTGATCTATTTTTAATATGATATTAGAATAAATTTTAATGTTGGACCAACTACAAATATTCAGTAATTCGATAAATTTTATAGCCAAATGTTTAGTTATGAGTCTGAAAGGAGTATTAAAATATTATATTTTGACTAAAAACATTACCACAGTAGTCTTTATTAAGTTTGGATAATCGTCTTATCTTAAAAAAGTATTTAAGAATTTGTTATATCTAATCAGGTTTTAATCAAGGGATAATTAATTAGTTTAATATTTGAAGTTTATCATTTTTTTCCAGAAGAATTTGGTCTAAATAAAATTTTATAAAAAAATGAAATTTTAGAAAAAAAATAGATTTTCAAAAAAGTTAATCTTGGGTGTTTTGACCTCTACCTTATCTCATCCTTTATTCCAAATCTCAATATTCAAGAACATATTATATAAGAATTTTTAATATAAAAATATATTTTAAAGTTAAAAACAATATAAATAACAAATATTTTTTATTTAAAATTTAAAATTATTATTTTAACTTTACTTCCTTACCTTTTTTTGTACATGTTTGATATTCCTTTTTCATTTTTTTTTTATCTTTGCTTCATGTTAAATATTTTGTACATAAATTAAGAAAAGTTATTAATTACCTAACTTTCTAGTAGATATTCATCTGTTATACTACATCCTTACTTTTTGTTTAACTTTTAACATTTTGCACAAAATATTTTAAAAAATAATTGATATTCTAAATTTCATGAGAAGTTGTCATTTAACTTTCTATTATACCTTCCATATATTATATTAATTATCTCATTTTGCGTATTATCTTCTACCAAACAAATATTAATTTTCCAGGTAAAATTATTAAAAAAAATAATTATTCAAACTCTATGATATGTGATAACAAATCTAAACGGATTGGCTTCCACTTGACCGACTTTTCTCCAAATGGGGAGGAATAGAGGAAATACTTTTTTACATGTAAAAATATTATAAGAATTTTTATTATTATTAAATTATTATATTATTATTAATATTTATTACTTTTTCTTTTCATTAATCCAAATATTGTGTATTGAATAAAAGAGTTGTAATGTATCGAAGTTCGCATTGAACCAACCTGAATAAATAATTACCCCAAATCAATGATAGGCTAACTTAATTGTATTTGGCATTTGATTTTGAGGTTTGGGTCAATTGGATTTGTTATTAATTAAAATTTATTGAAAATTATATGAACCATGTATCTTAAATTAATATTTTTTTGAATTTTAAATAAATTTTAACAAAAAAAGGGGTTAATAGCTGGTATATAAATTGTGAAGCATGAGTTGTAAATTCAATATTGTTCTGAAAAACCAAATATTCCCAATTCATTGAGATGAAAACACCACACCAAGCACACATGGATGTAATTAATGAACTGTGATTGTATATGGAATGGATAGAAAGAAGTGAAAAGTGAAAACCTCCTTATAGGCTAATGCACATCACCATCTTCTCCAAACACTGTGCTAACATTTCTATTCCTTTTTCTTTTATGCATTTCTTCCTTGTCATACGACCCCACACTCTAAGTACTACCACACCATTGGTGGGTCCTTTTCCCCATGTTGTTGTGACTTGATGTGTTCTAATCACATCAACCATGTTTTTTTGTGCTTCATTGTCACTTCACTTGCACACATTTAATACTCTCTCCCTTCTTGACATGCCCTTGCAATTCCCTTTGTTAGATCACTTTCTTAAATTCGTTTATGTTATATAAATTTCCTCCACATTATGTAGGGTTAGTTGGTTGTTTTACATTTAACATTTTCTCACTAAAAAAAATGTTATTTATTAATATAAAAAATAAGTATTAAAATAATTTTTGTTAGAGTTAATTTTTGTTAACTAACTATTTTTAGATGCCGATAATTTTAATGAGGCAAAATTATATTACTGTAAGTGTCATAGTTCTTATTTCTTTTAATGAAAAATAGAAATTTTCGTGGTAACTGGTATAATAAAAATTAGCACTAATTACTGAACAGGTGTGAACATCCAAAATGATGGGTAATGGAGAAATTAAGCCTAACATATTGTAGAGTTGTATCTATGCAAGTCCAGTGATTAGGGCCCAATGCTAATACAAGATTTTAAAGAATGTTGATGGATAAAATAAAGATCAATAAGAACAATTTAGGTTCAGAAACTAATGGCTTAAATGGCCCCAAACCCAAATAAACATCTTTTGATCCATGCATTCAAGATATCCATCCACATATGTCTTTAAATATATATGACTTATCTTATAAGAAGAGAACATGTGTAAAGTAATAATTGTTTAATATTTACATTAATAATAAATAAATTATTATTTTTAAAATATTATTATAAAATCTCTTTTAATATATATTTTTTTAAATCGTTTTTTACCCCTTTATGCCTCTCATAGATCAACAAAATGTTGGGATTTAGTATGAAGAAAAAAGAAAGAATGCAATATGGATCTGGATACCCTCTGTTAGGTTAGTATGCGCTTTCCAAGTTGATGAGTTGCTGCCATTTCTTTTTAATCTTTTTAATTGATAAACTTACAGTGATACTTAAGAATCACTCATGGTTATCAAGTTTAATACTTTTCAATCCACTTGTTTCGTTATACTAATTGACCAAATCCTGGTTATGAGTAAGTGACATAGGTCCTGTTTGCCAAAATTTCTAAAGAAATTTTTATATAAAAAATAATACAATTCTCTTATAAATTTAAAATAATTTATATTCTAAAAAAATTCTTTCATTTTATTTCTTTAAAATTTTTAAAAATAATTTTTTAACTTAATAAATAAATTTATTTATTATTTATTATTATTTTTTCTCTTCTATAAGGATCTCTAAAAATTCTCTTAAACAGGGTTATACTCAAAATCTGTTAAGTCTAAGATGCTTAGCCTTTTTTTTTTTATGAATTGCAAATTATTCCTTTCAACAATTAACAAATTTTCTTAAAAAATTATTAATAAGTTGTTCTAACAAATAATATTCCATGTTTATTAATATAATAAAGTTAAATTTATAAAATTCGAAAATATATTTTTAGATAAATTCGAATATATTACTAATATTTCGGTAATTAGAAGTTAATGTTTTAAATGGATGATTACAAACAACAACTAAATAAATATATCACTTATACAATATCCTCTCTGTTTTTTTAAAGGATATTTTTAATCAAATTATATAAATTAATAAAAAATAGTTAAAATTAGTTTATTTTTTAAAAAAATTGCAGTAGCATGAAAATTTTATCCTTATTTACTATCAACATTTACTTTTCTCAGTTTTAATTTAAGTTTCTACTAACTCTATTAATTAAAATAAAATAAAAAAATATTTTAACCAATGCCTTATAAAAAGGATTGAGTGTAATTTAACATACATAGATAAGATTTACCAGGAATGATTAGCCGCAGTGGAGAGTGACATAAGTATAAAGTACAAGATAATAACATATTTTATCTGTAATGTCATGATTTGAATTTTGTCTCTGATTTGAGGAAGACTGCACAAAAGGATAACCTCTTAACATGCCAAGGACATGGGCACCCAATGAATCATCATCTAAAGTGAAACACTAAAACCACTGAGAAAATATATTGAAACATGTCACACATCAAAGTAAAGGTGAAAAACCACTCAAAAAGGTAAAAGAGAGAAGAATGGGATTGTGGGAAAGGAAATAAATCTCGTACTAGACAGAAAAATGAGGGCAAGAAGGAAGAGAGGGTGGTCCTGTACGAGGTGAAAGAAAGGGTGACTTTATTTATTACCAGAAGCACAGGGCACCAATAGTGTTTCATATCACATTTCATAGTGTCATTTTGAGGAACAGGAAATTAAGTAAAATGAGAGGTGACATGTGAGAATAAAAGGGTCTACAATTCTAGGATGTTTGTCCCACGTGCTGTTGTAGGGAACTGCTATGCCACGTGGCATCTTCTAGTGGCGGTTGGAAGCTGATGCTGTCACCTACTAAACTAAACTCACCCTTCAGCATGTTGTACACTGTCTTTGCTTCACGCAAGCCCTCTTCTTTCCTTTCCCTTCTATGTTCCCTTCTTACATTTACTTGCTTCGCTTTAAAGTTTCAAACTTTGAACCAAATTCAGCCCCCCACAATGTGTAAAACCCTATTAACAATAGATACGCATAACACAAATTTGTTTTTTTTCTATTTTTTAAATCAATTATTTCCCTTCCACTCATATCATTGTCTCCTATATGATCAATTAAAACAAGAACTTTTATAGTAGTCTTTGACATCATATGCAAACATCATACATGTATAATTTCTCTTTATCGATTTTTTATTTTATTTAAAAAGTTATCTATTTTAGTTTTAAAATTTTTATTTTTATTATTCTTTTACATTAAAATGAATTTCTCTTTACAAGAACTGATTTTAAGATTTACAATTGATAATACTCTTAACAAAATTTCTTGGTGCTAAGTAGTATGGCTGAAATTAAAGTCTGCACTAAGATCCAAATTAAAATTAAACCAACTAGCTTGTCCATCTCAAGTGAGTGACCCACCACCAAAAGCATTCACTTATTATTCTCTTCACATCAAATCAAAATCAAGTTAACAAGTAACAAACAATCCTCTCATCTATATAGCTCTTTCTCGGTGACCCACATAAAATTTTGGTTCAACCTTGAGCAAGAAAAAGATTATTAGGCCAAGCTTTGGCAGCAGATCATATTGAAGAGTTTAGAGAGAGAGAGAGAGAGAGAGAGGATGGATTGTGGGGGTAAGATTGGTGGAGGTGAGAGAAGTGGGCCTTGTGGTGCTTGTAAGTTTCTGAGGAGAAAGTGTGTGAAGGGTTGCATATTTGCACCTTACTTTGACTCAGACCAAGGAACGGCTCATTTTGCTGCGGTGCATAAGGTGTTTGGTGCTAGCAATGCCTCTAAGCTACTCATGCGCATCCCAGTTCACAAGCGTCTTGATGCTGTTGTTACTCTTTGCTATGAGGCTCTTGCTAGGGCTAGAGACCCCGTTTATGGTTGTGTTGGCCACCTCTTTGCTCTTCAACAACAGGTATCAATTAATTTTCCCTTCTTCATTGTAATATGATTGATCCCTTTGTTTCATCCTTCCCTTTCTTTGCTTTTTAATTGGTAACCAAAGATTATGAAATGGGTGCACAAATGTATCTCTTGTTTCTCTTCCCTTGGAGGTCTGGGTTTTGTTTGCATTTCTTAGAAGATATTAGATAATGCTTGTTTGAGAAATACTAATTCTAAAATATTATTATTTTAATTTTTCAAAGGTTGATAAAAAATTATTACCAAATATGCATATCAAACGTTGGGAAGTTAAGAGAATTGCTGCACAAAAAGAATAAGTGCAAACTAATATTATCCCTTATTGCACCCTCTTTATAGCTCTGAATCATTCTATTTATTATTGTTGCCTTGCATTTGTTTTTAACAATAAATCTTCAATAGGTAACAAAGTGAATGTGGGAATACGAGTGCTAACTTGCTTATTCTTGAGTCATGACTTCATATACACTGAATATGTAGTCAGAATAATTATTCACTACTGATCCATTGAGTTTGGATTCTCTGAGTAAAAAAAACTGGAGTAAGATGGAAGATAGTGATTAATTAATGTTGAGTCATGTTATTTTAACCATTCAAAATTAACACCTTTGCCTAGAATCATATATCGTTAATTTTATATCTAATCTAATAGTTATTTATTTTATATAAATGCATTTAAAAAATATATCTCACTTGCAAAAAATACACCTTTGATATCTCAATTAGTGGTTAAAAATACATTTCTCATTAAGCAAAAGGTTAAACACTAATAGTAATCATGCTAACATGCGCCTGGGTGTGAAGTTCTGCACCTGTACTCCATCTCTAGTGTAGTCGCTTGACAAGTATCACTGTTTTGCATTCTTCGTAGGTCAAGATCTTACCATTTAGGATATTATTATAGTATGTACAATGTACTATTTCCTTTGACACGTTTGTTAGCTTTAGGCAATTTTTTCTATGGAAACCATACACTACTTAATTAGATGCCCCCTATCAATGTAGGTAGGTTTTGTAATTTCAAGGTATAAAGTCACATATGCATAGTATCAAGTATGCTGTATACTCTAGCTAATTAATACTACCATGTTACTATGGTATAAAAAAAAACCTACCCCAAAAGTCTACATGATTAGATTTAGCATAAAAATTTGGGTACCTGAAATCAATGTGTTGTGAAAATTAGGTTTATCAATGAATAAAACTTTGTGAAATTCATGTTAACCATCAATTTTTTAAAAGAGAGAAAAGGGGGGTGGTGGTGGTGGCAGCCGCCAACTGGGTGTAGCTGACTACGGAGGCTTGTTTGTTGCTTGCCGGCGCTACCAAGCAACGCAATTAGCAGCTCGAGAAATATTCAAATATTTTTAGTATTGACTTTTAATCTCTTTGCTACTCATAGTTTACGGTACACATTTATATATTAGCAAATAGCCAATTAGTAGTACTCACAGCATATTAAATTATCTACCTAAAAATAATCTAGATGTTCCTTCACGTGAATATAAATAGTCCCTTTATATTTGATTTGTTAGGAAAATGTCAGTGTGCACGTAGGCTGAATTTAGAATTAAAAAATTTATAGATAAAAAATTTTTATGAAAAAATATTTATTGCATTAAATAAAATTTTACTATTATTAATTCTTATCCTCAATTTTTTATATTTTTTATATTTATCGTTAATTTTTTAATTAATAATTATATTAAAATTTATTCATTAAAGTGTGTTTCTACACTTTAGAGGTGAAATTTAACTATAATTAAAATCTAATTTTGTGCTTAAAATTTGGTGATGTTAATAGATTTGCAATACAATGAACATTGAGTAGTAGAGGTTTAATCGCCGACTTAACATTTTGACCGTTTACAAAGGAAAACGTTAAAAAATCAAGCCTTTATTTATAGTTCACACGTTATAATAAGAAAAAAACCACACACACCAAACGAACTTTATAATGTTTTGGGAGGATTTACATGACACACGTTTATACTAGGACAAAATGAAAATGTTCTAAAAATAAGAGTATATTATAAAAGAAAATGTTTATTTGTGTGTATATAAAGTAAACATTCATAGATGTATAATATCATAATTAATATTTATTTATTTATAATACGTCAAAATGAAGTTAATTAATGAAGTATCGATTAGTTTTTTAAAAAATTATAAAATTAATATAACTAATAAAAATTTCAAACTAATCGTATAATAGTTAAATTAATGAAATTTAATATTTAATAACATTATTAAACTGTTTAAGAGAAAACTTAAACTTGGTTTTAAGTGGATTAATTCCTGCCATATAAACGTTTATATTTATGTGGGTTAAAGTAAAAATAATTTAAATGTTTATTTAAAAATGCATGTTCTTAATGTTTATTTCAAATGGATGTTTCTAATTTTTAACAATCAATTTTATTCGTATTTATTTATAAGTGCATATAAGATGTAGCTGGGAAAAACCTACCACTTTCTAATTTTCCTTTGACAAGTCTATGGGCTATATTAAGATTATTATTGATGCTACATAAAGTTTCACAATCTTATGCAATTGATTCAATTGCAACAACCTCTTCCTTATATTTGAGATGCATTAAGTATAATATAAATTCTAAGGTTCAATAATTGAGTGGCAGAACCCTCTACATGTTCATCCATGAAGCCTGTGATTTAACCCAAGAGAAAATAGTAATTTAACACTTGCACGCTGCACACTAACATTATAATGGTTTTTTCCATTTCGTGGCCATTATTGGGCAGATATCACCAATGGATTCCTTAACTTTAATTAGGCAGAATTCCATTATCTATGTGATTAGTTACCAAATACCAATTAAGTAATCCCTTCTAGATTCTGTAGCCTAAAAGATAGAAAGGAAAAGTTGTTTGGATAAGATCGATTTTATCTTCTCAAAGCAGAATGTAATAGCCAAAATAAAATATTATAGTTTTAAGTTTTCTTTTTAACACTAAATAATTAAGAATATTCTTCACATGCATGTATGATTTGGAGTATGTTAAAATGTATTAAAATGTTGGGCACATGATGCAGGTAAGTAGCCACAATCTCTATCTGTATATCTCTGACACTTTTACTTTCGGTCTGATTTATGATTGGCTAAAATCTCTTTTTATTCAGTTAATTGTCCTTGTTCAGAATATTTGCAATATTAATTTTGCTACAGAACTATTAAGTTATCAGATACTATTAGCATCCTTACATATATATACATATAGTAATTGTTGCGATGATGTATAAATAATTTAGTTTGACATGCAACTGATATGGATTGTTACAATGGGTTAGATTTCCATTTCCTTTTCACATAATACAATCGGAACAGATGAGAGGAACAAAAAGTTTAGTGAAAAAAGAGTAACATACTGCTATGTCTATACTCTATTTTCACAAACTTATCGAATGCCCACTTGACATATGGGCAAAAGATAAAAAGGAAAATAAAATAAAAACATTTGAACAACTCACTTGTTGAATTAGTGAGAATTTTCAGAACCTACTAGGCAATTATATCCACATATATTGATATGGTTAGTGTGTATATCATTCATTTGGAATTTGATGGTTTCGGATAATGATATCATGATAAGCACTCTCATTTTGACCCCAAGATTTATCTTGTCAATACTCCAGTGTTTCCTAACTATTACAGGCACAAATATGAAACATGCAACACTTGAGATATTTTAGATGTCATAACCTGGTAAAACACAAAATGATTTGTCAGATCGTGATTATTATATTGGTCGTAATTAAGTGCGTTTGATTAACGTCAAATTTACTCAACATTTATTCATTTCAACGTTACAAATAATAGTTTTTACATTAAAGTCGTTTAACATGATTTTATTGAATTTCCAACCACGTTAAATCTTGATTTGACTGGTGCAGGTCATGAACTTGCAGGCTGAGCTAACCTATGTCCAGGCCCGTCTTGCCACAATGCAACGGTTGCCAGTCACAGTAGCTCCTCTTACACTCCCTCAAAGCTCTTCACCAACGAGTCTCCATTCCTCTTCAGATCACTTGCCATCAAGTGCTGACATGCAAAGTGTCTCTATGCACTTTGATTCTCTTCAACAACATTCAACATCACTAGAATTAAGCAGCTTTTTCAATCCATCAGAACAACAACTGGAGGATGGGGAACTCCAAGCTTTGGCTCGAGAATTTGTGTCTAGATACTTGCCCGGAGTGAGATTCCAGCCATCCAACCCTCACTGAGGTTTTATCTTGTACTTGTATCCTAATGCTTTTCTTAATCATGGCTAAGGAAGTTATAACTTTGCTTAATTTGCTAAGAGTGTTGCTTACTGTACTAGTGGAAGAGTATTTTTCAAACATGAAGAACCATGTAACAAGACCAGTGGCTACTCCCTCTTCCTTTCGCTAAGAAATTTTCCACTACGTTACTTTCTTGTTAATTAAAAATATACTACGCTTAAAGTAGTAAAAGCAAAATAGAATGCTTACAAACGACCGTGCAATGTTGAATCCGTTTCAATTATAAGGTACCATCAATGTGAGCATGAGTCTCAAGCTAGTAATAGTTTATAAATCGAGACCTTAATTAACCATATGAACGCGAGAAATTGTTTTCCTGCAGTAGTTAGAATCTCGTGAGCACTTGCTACGAAACCAAAACTTTGGACATCCTTATGAAACAATATCCCTGGCCACAAAACGACAGCTAAATTTATGAGCAAAAACACCACCTCGTGACTTAAAATTTTGAAACGAGCTTAAAATACAACTATCATCTTTTGATGGCAATCATTGCTTTATGGAGAAAGCGTGGGCCAAGGAGTGAAATATAAAAGCAACAGAAAGTGCTTTGAAGTTCATATGAAACATCTTAAAGCGCGGATTGTTAAAAGCCCAATTCAGTCAACGACATATGATTACAAGTAGTCAAATTTTGGACTGATAGTAGCCATCCCATTGGTGAGTGACCAAGAGTCCGTTGCAAATCATGAACACATCAAACCACAGGCTAGATGATAATAATGAAACAAAAATAATCAAATATTTCTTGAAGAATCCATGTGACCAGAGAATCTTAATTCTCCACCCACCCAAAGCTGAAATATTCCATGAAAGATACTGAAGCAACAGTACTCAGTTTCACGCATCTTTCTGATCGTGTCTGCTGCTATTACAAATTCATCACAAACTTCTAAAAATTCAGTGTACTACGTCCAAGTAAAAAGAAACTCAGCTTGATGCAATCTCCAGCAACAATTTATTTCTAAACCGCTGCAATAAATGTTTTGCCACAATGCCGGAATGCCCTCACTTTTTACCCAACAATGTTAAAGGTAAGACATAAATATTGACACAAGAAATACCGAGCATTATAATCAACAGCTAAAAACTATACACCAAACCAGTGTCTTTTTATTTGGAACTGCAGCAAATCATAGTCCTTAAACACTGATCCCACAGAAATGCAAAATAGTCTGCAGTTCTGTTTGAGAATATTAGAGACGAAGTTCATAAATATCATCCATGATTAACAACTGAAATTCAGTGAAATTTAGAACAAATAAGTTACTATGAAAGAGATTTATTATGACAAAAATAACTTGGAGACTCCTTGTTAGCATTGTGTATAGTTTTTTAACACTCTAGTATCGTATCATATCGAATAAAGTATCTAAAGATATTGTAGGCAAAAGAAAAAGTATGAATATATAATTTTGTACCATCATAACACATGTATTCAACATAAGATGGTCATTTAAGGTTATTAGCAAATAACTCTCATATTCCTAAACGAAATACCAATTTCAAATTTGAGCAGTTGCTCATGAGACTCGTAAGAGATAGACACTAGTCATATAACTGAGATCCATGTCCTCATGCCTTCACAGTCTTCTGTAATAGAACATAACATACACAGAAGAGAAAAAAAAACGAGAAAAATCAGAACACTGGCAAAGAGAACAAAACAGCCAAGGGCCAAAGATGAACAGTTCCCTAATCCCAATAGAACAAAGCAAAGAGAAAAGAACCAACTTTCCCTCTCAGGTCTTATGTTCTTTCATTCTTGTCAAAGCAGGTACAAAATCAAAGTTATGGATCTATCACAGAATTATATGACAAACAGGAAACCAAGGGTGTGACTGTTTGTCAAAGCATGGCTGCATCTGTTTGTTCCCAGCCATCAAAGCGTGTTACTGATGGTATTTTCATGTTTTGTGATGTTTAAAACTATCAGAGGTTATCAGAGGGTACACACGGATCAACTGATACAGTCTCTTGCACTATTCTTGGTAAAACAAGTGAAAACAATACATTTTCATATGCTTATGTATAATTCAAAAATGTGTTTTCTATATTTTATAACTTATGATAACACCTCAAAACTTTGGAATCGATTGATGGTAGACATATGCCATTATGTTCTAACAGTTGTAAGTTGCAGAATATTCCAGAGCACATGGCATACTAGGGTAAAATCACATCAAATTTCTTTTGATTTTTGACTCAATTATGCGATGAAATCTTAGACCATAATTACTATTATAAATATTGAGAAGAACCAAAGGAAAGTTAAAGCCACAAATGAAGAATATGATCAAATTTCATAAAGATTAAAAATGTTATAAAAGCAATATATTCTTCTATACTTATCTGAAATTCCAAATACTGCTCTCTAAATATGTATAAATTATGAAAACACCTCAAAATATGAAGTCCATAGTTCGAAGACATTAGACAACATATGCTGTTATATTTTAATAGTCGAAAGCTACAGAATATCCGTAGTTCACCTTGGCATGTTGGAGCAAATCAAATCGAAATCCTTTTATTCTTGACTCAACATGATGAAATGTTAAAGCATAATTAAGTTTGAGAAGAATAAAAAAAAAAAGTTAAAGCCACAAATAATGTGATCAAATTTCATAAAGATTATAAGTATGCAAGAGAGATGTACTTTCATTGAGATTCAAGACTTAAAAATGGACCATGTCTACAGTCTACCCCACTGTAATGAATATAAACACAATAAAAATAAGGCGCAATTCTATGATGCACTGTCAATTCAAAACTGCAAGCTCATTATCTATATATGGAACCATACCTAATTTAAGTCTATACAGTGATCTTTTTGGTCCTTGCAGTGTCCGGCATCTTTCTCCAGATCAGTTGCCTTCAGAGACAATGGGAACATATTTATGAAAGACAGATGTAAAATTATAATTAGGCACTAAAAAAGGTAATAACTACAGCAATAAAACAAAAAACGAAAGGTCATCTTTATTTAACTTGTAAGCATGTTACAAAAGGAACTAAAGGATGCAGACCTCAACGAGTGGCATTATAGTCAGGTAAATTTAAAATGCAAGAAGGCCAATTAAGACAACAATCTAAGATAAGATTTGGAGCAGAGGAATTGTAACCTTAGTACAATGAATCCTAAAAGACCTAACTTTGTTTTTCCCCAAACATAAGATGGCAGCCAGAAGTAATACATTAATCCGAAAAGGAAAGATCCTAATTAAGTTAAGGAGTATATAAAAGAGAAATATTTCAAAAAATACATATAATGAACAGGACAAGTTTCATAGAATAATATTAGACAGCAAACCATGACCTCATTTTTTACCACGAAATTAGTTAATGAAAAAGATGCTACCCACATCTTCCCTTCCACACAAAGAGACTAGAGCATCGATTGGACTTCCAACAAGGCGTGTAAATACAACTGAAACATTTTCATACGGATAAGATACAACAATGCAATCATATTTGGACACTAAAAAACAGTGTTCTTCACTGAACTATCAAACAATGTTAGGGATCTAACTGGATTTACAAAAGCCTCTTCTCTTCAGATGGGATGGTGCAACATATAAGGAAACCAAAGTCTTGCAAATATTTATTCAACAAGTAGTCCAACTCCTAAATATTAACTCAATTGCAAAAGTGGAAAACTCAGCACTAACTATTGGAACTCCATCCATAATCTAAGGTTAATTCATAGAATGCCTATATGGTGAAGGCACAGATGTATACTAAATGCGCATCATCATAGGTTCATAGTACATTAACAGATTCATTAAAATTATCAGTTGAATAGAAATCATGAAAGAGATGGATTCAGATTTGTAGCAAAACACATTTTCAAATATGATACCCGTTTACCCTACCAAAGAATATTGATATCTTTTCCCACCCAAGGAGACCATGTAAGCTCATGGTCAAAGTAAAGATTAGATAATACAGAATAAATGGAATTTCTAAAAACCATTTTTTATTTCTTTTAGCCAATCATGTATAAGGTATATACTTCAATAGCATTTTTTAACTAGAGCCACAGTAAGAAATACGGGAAGGGGATCACAAGAATCCATAAGCACCATAATTTTAAAGTTACAGAACAGGGAAATTGGCTATACCTGAAGGCATATGAGATGGCACCAAAAACCTTCAATCTTCCGTTCAGTATGAAAGAGATTGCCGAATGCCGAGAAGTGTGCCAAGGTGAATAAAGCAATGGGACTGAGCTACTGATGATATATTGGGTTGGCTCACCCCTATGGAATAAAAATTGATAATCTTCAAATCGAACCAGAAGCCAAAAGAACTTTTGCTTATAAGAAATGACTACATATAAAAAGAAGTGAAGCACACGGATAGGGAGTACAGCACATACACATCATAGATACAATTTCAAACACACAATAGCTCAATAAATCACCAGTAGTTCCTGATAATACATACAAAAATCTCTAAGTTCAAAAAGAGATTACTGAAAACACTGATGTGCATTATAAGAAGGACCAAGATAAAAAAAATCTGAAGGCCGAGAACAAGGTTAACAGATATAGTCATACTCATAACGAAGTTATGTGCAAGAAGCATAGCTGGTTATACTTTACAGAACCACAAGTAATAAATACACCTAAACGGCATGTGAGCGGCTCCAATCTTCTGTATACATAAATGTACAATCCCACTTCTACTTGTTGGAAGGGGTAAATAGGCACAATGGATTTAGACCTCTAAGTTAGAGTGGATTAACTTCAATGTTCATGGCACTATAAAATCTCTCCATGACGAAATCCACTATCTCCACAATCAGCACCAGCATCCAAAGCACAGGGAGAATCATACCATTTAGGATTGTCTTGGTAGAAACTATCAACCTGTATACAGCCAAGACCTACATCTGAAACTATAGCCTCGTCATGTCTGATGGGCTTGGTTAGTTTAGTATCCTCGCAAACAAGGATGCTTTTCTCATCAAAGTCGCTGCATTTCAACCACTTTTCAGGCTTGCATGAGTCGCTTATCAGATCTTTCTGACTTCTGCACTCCGTCCTGATATGATCGCCCCAAGAAACAACCTCCCCTAGAGTGCGGCCAAAACTATCTTCGTCATCCTCAATCAGCTCCGTGTCCTTGCCATCCCCATAAATCCTATCATGGTGATTACTCCAGTTCGCCAGATCATTATCCCCAACCAAGACATCATCCGCATGCGACTTATCGGAAATCAACTCAACCGGCTTCAAACCCTCTTCCCCTATACTCCTAATCTTATTCACAATATCAAATAACTCGCGCGAAACAGAACCCAACAACTCCCTGGGAATCTTTGAAACCCTCCCTTCCAACATCCCAACCTCAGCCCTCAATTCCTGGACCTGCTGCAAAACCGAGAACTGCAAATCCCCATCTTCCTTCCCCATCAACCCAAACCCCTCATTCTCCATCTCCTCACTCACCCCATACACCGTCTCCTGATCCATCAAATAGCTCCCCTTATGCCCAACAACCCTGTGCATAATCCTCGCATTCCCATCCAAGGGCCCCGGCTCATGCCCCGAATGCACCGCGTACAACTTAAAAACCGCCACCCCCTCCTCCTGATACACAAAACTCTTATCCTTCTCATTGTAATTAGCAATCGGCACAATTGCCCTGATCCTAAACCCACATCCACACCTCTTGGAAGCATAAGGCTCCCTCTTCAAAATCTTACTCTTCTTAGCAGCAGGCTCACCCGCCCTATGACAAGCATAATCCTTAACCTCAGCCATAAAAGGCTTATACCTAATATACTTCTGCCTAATACACAACACAACCTTATGCTTCGCAGCAAGCTGCTGAAGCCTACTAGGAACCTCCTTAGCAGGCACATCAAAACTCTCAGTATACTCGAACCTCCGCCGCTTGCTCCGCGCGGCCGCGGCCGATCCCGACGCGGCGGCGGAGCACACAGGGCAAGCAGCGACACAAACCCTAATATAACTCTCAGGAATTCCATAAAACTTAGCACCAACAGTCCAGACCTGCTTAATCCGTTCGACCGTCTCCTTGAGCCCTAAGTGCTTCAAATCGGTGTCGCCATGGAAGCTCATGACAATGTCCTGCCACTGGTTAATGTGAGAGACGAATTGCTGCGTGTTGTTCTTGAAACAGAGAAAATGGTTGCCGTTTGGGTCGAGGTGAACGGCGAGCTTGTCCTGGATGCGTTTCCAGGCGGTGAGATAAGCGGTTTCCTCGTTGCGATCTTTCCAAACGTTGCGCCATGATTTGAGGACGGAGCGGGGAGTGGCGGCGCGGATCTCGGCGGGGGTAGCGAGGCGGCGGTGGAGGAGGCAGCGGATCATGAGGGAGTGGGAGTCTGGGTTGAAGGTGTAGAATTGGGAGGAGATGTGGGGTTGGGGGCTGATTTGGAGGGGTTTGGGTGAGTCGGTTGAGGAGTGACTCGGTGGTGAGTCGGAGGATGAGGTTGGGAATAGGAGTGAGAATGATGGGTCTGGCGTTGGGAGGATCTGGTTTGGTGGGTCCAAATCGTGCGGTAGAAAGAGATCGTCTTCTTCACGTTTGTTCGAATTCATCTTCGATTCAACTTTGCCTCTCCCACGATTCAGAAGAGAATGGGAAAGTGAGCACTGTCACTTCTCTCTATCTACTCTCTCTCTCTCTCTCTCTGTTGCTAAGCTAAGGTTTTGTGTTTGTGAATGTCAAGTCTCTCTCTCTCTCTCTCTATCTTTCTGACATTTTTTGGCTTCGCGGAGGGACGCATCAACCCCTCCTCAAACCCCTTTCTCTTCTTTGTTTTTCTCTCTTGTCACTTTCCTCTTTCTAACCTCACTCTTCTTTTACCCCTGTAAATGTTTTTGTTGTGCAAGTTTTTTTATTTGCCTCCATCTTTTAACTTGTTTAGAGATAATCAGAAAAATTTTATTTTTCTATTCAATATTGTAATATTTTATAATACTAATATATTGAATTTTGTATATACATAATAATAATTTGTTATTATTTACTCTCTTTTTTTATGAAACTTATTATTTACTCTTTAGTACAATAAAAAAAAGTCAAATTACTTAATAAAAGTTGGGTCTTGTTAATCGCTACATTAAAAATATTAGTTAATAAAAATATTGATTAAAATTTATTTAAAATTATAAAATTACATAAATAATATTTTCATTTAAAAATTTAATCAATATAAATAATGTGTTAAAATGTGTGTTATTATTCGTTAAAAAATAAAAATCATATGAATATTTTTTATTTTTTAACTAATACTCTAAAAATATTATTTAATGTTCATTAGAAAATCTACGTAATATTTGTATAATAATGAAAAGTGTATTTTTATTTTTAAAAAGGAATGATAAGGTAAAATATTAAATTAATCATTCAAACTAAAATTGTTTATGATTCTAATTTCTATAATTATAACAAAAAGATTTAGTCAATTTGACAATCATTAGTTATATCAGTCTTTAATGTTAAGAGCTATTCATTTAACCCTTGATTTTTGTAACAATGGTTAGTCTTTTGAGTTAGAGTTTGATACACATCAATTAACTTGGTTCTAGCATGAGTAAATCTTTTATACCCAAGATATTTCTCTTCTCATAATTAATTTTGTAAATTTTTAAAAAATCTTATTTTTATTTTTAGAAAAACATGACAGATAAAAAATAGCCATTAAAAACATTGTGTCATTATTATGGTTGGAGGATAATGTATACCAAGAAAAATAAATAAATAAATCCGAAATATCTTTAAAGTACTAGTTTAAAATAATAAAAACACGTTCATAAAATGTGTAAAATCCCAAATTTAATGTTTGGATGAGTTAATTAAAAAATCAGGATAATTTAAAATTTTATTAAATTTTAAAATATTTTATTTAGATAGAACAATAAAATTCTATTTGTTTTAAATATTTTTATTTGGGTTGAGAAATAAAATCACTTATATTTTCTAAAATCATAAAATTATAATGATATTCAATAAAATTAACTAATATACAAAATTAAATTATTAAGTTAACAATAATTACATAAAAATATAAATTAAACACACGATAAATAAAAAAAATCAGATTTTTTATTATTTTATTAGATTTTAAACATTTTTAATTTTAATCTATTAAAAATTGTATTAAATTTTTTAAAGCTGAAAAAATTTAATATATATTTATAAAATAAATCTAAACTCATAAAATTATAAATTTTAAAAAAATCACTTAAAATATCCAATTCAAACACACTAAACACAATAGAAAAATATCTAGTTTTAAATATTTAAAAAATAAAATAAAATCACATCCGTACACATAAATTTATATTTACATCAATATACATAAGCATAATTATGACCAACCTACCAACTTATGCAGCGTAGTCTGACGTATAACGTGGAATTAAAATGGAATAGGTGAGTGAGTGTACATGTCAGTATTCCTTTTATGGAACAATGTAAAAATTATTTATTTATTTTTAAATAAAATATACTTAATATTTTGAAATTATATACCCATAGATGCGTAATAAAACCTATTTTACTACCCATGTCATCATTTAATTTTCATATTTATTTACTAACATTTTTAGTTTTAAGTCAAATACACTAAAAATAGATTATAAGAAAAATTACAAAAAAAAAATCTTATAATTTGATTAGGTTATAAATAATGTGAAAATAGTGAACTTAGAATCCGGAGGAGAGAGGAGGTTGATGTGCATAAAAGGAAAAAGTGAGAAACCTATGAAGGTTTGAATGTAGGGTACTTACTACTATATCAAGAAAGCTCCACTTACTTTAGGTACCTCACTTCCCCCATTAATGTCTATTTCCATTTTCTTTCTTTTTTTCTTCTCTCCAACTATAACCAACCTTCCTCATGCTTAATTTCCCCTCTTATTATCTCTCAAAAAAGTTATATTAGACTAACATAAAATTTATCAAAATATAATCATATTGTTATTATTATCATAAAATATATTAGTATTGAAAATATAAATAGTATTACTAGTAATAATAAATAGAATAATATAAAAAGTAAGATATATTATATGCAATAGATGTGGTGTGAATGTGATATAGAAATTTTTTATAGAAAATTAAGAAAATAACTAGTTTGCTCACTCTTCTAAAATCGTTTTCAAATAAATAAAGACATATACATAAATTTATATATATTATTGTTGTTTAACTATTGATTATATTTCTTATAAAACATATAATATGATATTCTATATTAATTTAAATTTTTAATAATTTTTGTTAATTTATTTCTTAACATATTATATAATACATAATATATATTATATTTTATTACTCTCTATTCGACTCTAATGATCAAAGTCTAATTTTAAAAACATTGATATATACCAGAAGGAGACGTGTGTAAACTAATGAGTACAATTGTCAACATGTGTGCCACTAACATTTTGACCACCAAGTCTCGTGTTCGTCATTATGTTTGTTTGGTTTTTCATTCATAGAACAGAGTTAACAAAACTAAGAGCTAAAATTAGATCATAATTTAGAATACACGTTAGATTAGAGGATAAGAGATTGATTTACATTTTTTTTACAAATTTGTGTTTCAATATTCTGATCTCATCATTGGGCTGCCATTTCATTGATTCCAAAGTTAAGGGCAATTCAATATAGGTCCAGAAATTGCTATATGAATGTTGTAGGACTTGGATCATGATCTTTTAGGCCATTCACCAACGGGCTTTTGACCTTAAAAATAACCAAGAATAAAATCTGACCAGCCTGAGTTATGTTCAATCTATTAAGTTCTTCTTTTATCATCTTTCTGTCACCCTTGAGAATGCTAAAAGATTGTTGTTCCAGCTTGCAAAAGGGCTCCTTCAAATTAGGAGAATTTGCAATCAAATTTAAGCAAATCTCATTTTCAATTATATAGTATTTTGTTGTGATAAAGGAAAGGAAGGAAGGAATGTTCATGATTGGTTTAATATTTTAGAGGGAAAAAAAAAGGAGACAGGGGACCAAAATCCTTCCTAATTCAACTCTAGTTCTCCTGCAAAAGTGAAGAATTTTTTAAAATAAGTTAAACATATTATCTTAATTTAATGATTATATTTAACCATCTTAAATATATAATAGTAAATTTTTTTTCCTATTTCTCTTCTGAACTAAGTAAAATATCTCTCTTCTCTGTTGAAATTTTATTCTTCTTCTATTTTCTCTTTTATTTGAAACATAAATCTATTTAGTTATTTAAAAGAAAATAGATTAATTTTTTCCATCCAAATTATGGAATACTAAATAACCTGCCATCTGAATTCCTTTTGGCAGTCTTCTAAGTTGAAAGAAATTCTATTTACAAGTGTTAATCATAACTGTTGAAATGCCAATCCATTTAAAGCTTTCCTTTAAAACTTTACAATATTAGCTGCCCTCAAAGAACAAATGTTGAGTTTTCAATTGCCATACCACACCACACCTATGACAACTGATGTTTTCAATGTGAATAATTGATTCCTCTTTTTGATAAATTCATTTTAATGGGAATGCTGTCAAGTGATATTTGACATGTCATTACTACTTGATTTTAAAGCCTATCCCAACAATAAGTGGAAATAAAGCTTCTAGATGTTCAACAGGAATGCCAAATTAGAGAAAAACTTTACTTTTCTTTTGCAAAACTTAATATTTCAAGTGGTGTTTTTATTTCTACATTTATAATATCTTTTAAAATTTTAATTATAGAAACTAATTTATATATATATATATATATATATATTAATCTTTTAGATAATTTAGCAAATTATCAAGTGAATTGGTCCTACAAAATTATATGTGTTACTATATATGTCAACAGTTTAAAAATGATAATTACTAAATTATCTTTAAAAAATGTAAATATCACTATATTTATTTTTGTAAAAAATTAAAGTGGTGACACAACAAAATTTTTGAAGAACTAATTTTAATAACTAATTAATTTTCAACCAATTTGATGATAATATTTAAAATAATAATAATAATAATATTTTGACATTTAACATTTGTCATGGAATAATTTAGTGATTAACTTTTAAAATTTTTAAAAACATACTAATATTGTGCCTACTTTTATATTACTAAGAGTGCTTGTAAACCGATATAATTCAATACATAATCATAAAAATCAAGCTGAATAAACTAAAAAATAAAAACCTAAAAATTGATTAATTTGAAAGTAAATTTTGAATTAGATTAGATCGAATTTTAAATATAATTTTTAAAATTATTCAATTAAAATTAAAATTTTGTACATATAATTTTTTTTGTGAAATTATTAGACACTTATACAAATAAAAATTAATATATATTTATATCAAAATTAATTTATTTTGTACTAATGGCATCTCTACTTTCTCCTCTCATTGCCCCTACTGTCTCCAATTGCACCCAACTCCAAGAGACAGACAAAGTTTTATCCTCTTAAACCCTTTCTTAAAAGGTAGCTCTAATGTCAATTAACATAGTAATTTTTATAGTGCCTGAAAAGAAATTAAATTTTTATAGAAGAGTTTGTGTGTTGGATTGATTCGAATTTTAAATAACAAAATCATTCAATTTTCGATCATTAAAAATGCAGAGCAATTTGTTTTGTATTGATTTTAAATACATCTTGAATTAGATAATATAATGTTTATAGTTCTATTTTGAATTCAGTTAGAAAAAGATAATAAAATATTTCATTATCTTTTCTGCTATTTTTTTTAAAATATATGTTTTAGAGTTTGATTTTAGCATATTATCAGTGTAAAAAATTTTGTACTGTCAACTA